CATGAGAGGCAAGTGTTTGTCCCAAAATTCCATGGATGGATAGTGCATTTTGGAAAGTATGTGACAGACTCTGGCTGCCAAAGCCAAGAGTGCTAAAGAGCTCCCGCATTCCACATCTATGTCTCCTGGGCTGGTGGGGAAGTGGCTCTTGACAGTGAAACAGTTCGTTTAGGGAGAAGTTTTTTCTGAAAGCACTTTGGTCACATTACTGCACAGCAGGAGGGACTTTGAGAGGTTGGGCCCACTTGGATGTTGGGGCTGGACAAACAGGTTTTTTCTGCTATAGAAATTTAATAAGTTTAATTGTTAGCAGGTAGAGATCTGGGTTATCCCTTCCCATATAAAAATGAGCATTCTTAGAATTGGGTATGAATGTGCAATCTCTGAATATTGCTTTGCTTTGTATGAGTGTCCAAATAATGATGCACTGTTTTTCAAACATACCCCTGATGTTGGGGGTAGTGTGATGGCTTACACCTCCTGGGTTGGAGGTTCAAATCCAGCTTCTGCTCTGTGTAGGGTTTGCATGTTCTCCCCATGTCATTCAGGTTTTAACTCTTCTGGGACTCCATGCTGGTTGGTTTACTGGCATCCCTAAATTAATCATAGTGTGTGATTGCGCATGTATATGTGCCCTGCCATAGGTGGGCAACCAGTTCAGCCTTGTGCCCTATGCTGCCCGGGATAAATGGTTAGAAGCTGGAGGGATGTATCTCCGATACTGGGTACATGTGAAAAACCAGCCACTTTCATCATTGGTTATTGCTAGCTAATTAATGATTGTGTCTGTTAACGATATATGAGATACAGAAAAAGTATAACCCACAAAGAAATTGAAATTATAAACTTTGGCTTAATTAAGCTTTTAAATATTTTAAATAGTTTGCCGTAAGTATCAGTAGACATGGAATCTTTCTTGTTTTATCCTGAATTTATCATTAATATTTGATAAGTGACTAAATATAGTCTTAAACAATATTTGCTATACAAAAGCTTATAGGCTAATAATCCATCCTTACTGAAAACAATATAGGTTTGATTTAAATCTATGGAAGAAGTTTCCAAACTGGCTGTGAAGGGGGGAGTGAACCTTACAAGTACCCTTGGCCTTCAGCAAAGGGATCACTAGAGTGTGGGACTCAGTGAGCAGGAGGTCAGAATAAAAACACCCCCATTTACAGCAGGTGGAGTGGAGTCAGTTGGCTATCTGCGATCACCGTTCACACTGCTCTCGAATTACAGAACACTCTTGCAAAAAAGGTCAAGCAGACTCTGCGGTTGGCGCAGACAGTCTGTGTCACTGCCTAAGAGCAATCATTCCGTTTGTTCTGACGTTGGCGCTATTTTTGCATTTCCACTGAAACCTTTAAAGTTAAACTATATCGCAGGCAACATATATCGATTAAATAGTCAAATCCCCTTACATGCACAGCTTTGCTGAATAAGATAAGAAAGGAGGAAATCTAGCTTGGGTAGAATCTCACTCACTGCCAAAAGCCAACTGATAACAACTGAAATGTAGCAGTGAGGCTCATGAGACAGTTTTGACTGATGATGAAAGCAAATACAAAAGCAGAAGTTTTGGCTTCGGTCTAAGGAAAACACATGACCAAATATAAGGGGTGTTGGGTTGTAGGGGCTACAGCAAAGGGCTGCCACAGACTGTGGTGTGGACATCAGACTCTTGGTGCTTGGCCAAACAAAAATTCATTTATCAGTATTTATTTTAGTGATCATTGCTGACACACCACAGCAAAATGTGTCCTCTGCATTTAACCCATATGCGACATCATGACATAGCAAGGGGCAGCTAATTCTGCACCCAGGGAGCAGTACCTTGCTCAGGGTACTGCAGTGGTGCCTTGCTGGTCAGGGATTCAAACCTGCAATATTTCAATTATAAGTGTGCTTCCCTAACCATTAAGCCATCGCTGAGGCATAGTGGAGCCTCATACCTACAGGGCTCGAATCTCACTCCTGGCTTTGTGAGTCTGGCGTGTGCTTGTTCTTCCTGTGTCTCTGCATGTTTCCTCACACAGCCCAAAAAGATGTGTTAGGTGTCTCTATATTGCCATTATGGTATGAGTGTGTGCCCTATGATTGTCTGCTAACCTCTGATCCTTGGGAGGGGTGTCAGGCAGCATTGGATAAATGCCATGGATGCAGGTATGGATTAATGCATAGGCTTCAGCCTAAGGTCCTGGCAAAATCAGGGGTCCCTCCCTGGCTGTTGATCTATACCAGCCACAGTTGGCAAACTGACCCCAGCCCCTCTAGCACTACGCACAGTGATCATTCATTTAAATTTACTGACTGGATGGGCTGGTACCTTCAATCTGGCCCAGCACACCACCACTCACTTACCTACAGTGATCTTACACTCTTGACTCTGGCCTTTCAATTCTCATGTGAGAAGCTGAATTTGAAGAGCCCATAGTAGTGGGTGATGTGCGAATACATAATTGCTGCCAGTTGCATGGAATGTATTCTTACTCTGTCTCTATTTTACAATGGAAAATATTTCTTTCCTAAAAAACAGGCCACAGTTACCGTGTATCATCAAACAAGGCTTTCAGAAGCATATGAATCAAAAGCAAAAGGCTCTAAAGCAAATGGATGGCTGACAAGGGAATACTCTATGGATTGTGGGATCAGATATTCCTCCTTGTGACTTGTGTCCCAACAACACACCCCCCATCCTGACACAAATGCCATTCATTCCTGATCCGGTCACATAGCTGAAGGTTAGATGGGCCTCTCCATTGGCATAGGCCCACAGATATTGGAACCCGTTCAGAGATTGTTTGGTTAACATGAGTTACTGGAATCAGTTTGAAGTTTGCATGACCTATATGACTGATACTGGGACCAGTTGGGAGATTGCATGATTTATGTTACTGTAACTGGGACCAGTTTGGAGATTGCTTGGGTTACATTACTGTCACTGGGACCAGTTTGGAGATTGCATGGGTTATGTTACTGTCACTGGGATGAGTCATTTGGACTTTTGGTTCTGTACATATTGGGACTATATTTGTTGTTACAATCAGCATGAAACAAGTGTTTATTTTTACAGCCCCAATACAGTGATATTCAGGTGCCCCTGATTAAATTTCTACCGTACCTGCATAATCTGCAGTGCTGTGGTTGTTATGAACACAGATTTGTCACGAAATGGATGCTTTGAGCCATGGGTGTCAAGGTGACAGCTGGCAGCCCAGGTCTATTTTAGTTAAGTCACCTTTCCTCCATAAGACATATTGCAGCAGCTCTTTGCGATACAGCATGAACGGTCAGAATATTTAAAGTAGTATGTACATCCAATTTCTGTTCTGTGCAACAGCATATCAAATAACTTTGACGACTGTTTTGGAAAAATTAATACTTTGATCAGTGCATCTCTAAACACCGTGACTAATTTTGTTAAATGCGGAACCTTACTATACTTAGGTATACAGGGGATATCAGAATTGCTATACACGGATGGATATGAAAAAGAGTATGAAAATATTTTCCAGATACAGCAGCGGGTATTTAGATAAGCAAACAAAACTCTATCGCGTAATGATGGGGAATGACTTTGCAATTTACGGCACTAGAATTATAATAAACAAAGATGCTCTTAACGAATAAGACACAAAACTAAAAACATTGCAGAGTTTTTTTTCTGTACTGTGGGTAGTGCTGAGAGATTACTTTACGTGCAGCTCCTTTGCATTTACGCTTCTCGTTTGATGGCAGGAGGTGAACGCATGAAAACCAGCGAGGTGTTTTATCGCTACTCGCTTCCTGCTGCGCTGAAGTGGGGTGCGAGAATCTCAGTGACTCGCCACAAAAAAAACACGTCCGATTCTTTTTTTCCTAGTTACTCATTCATTTTGCCTCGAAACCCGGACACCTGCCGTGCACACTATTCCCGGCGAATGTGCATCCCCCGTCTGTTCCTCTACTCAGGCGGACTAAAGGTAGGTGGACACTGGGCTCAGTATGAGCCGGCAAACTGGACAGCGGGGAAGGCGAATAACGTGTTTTTAAGCATTGCTAAAAAAAAAAAAAAGGATATAATATATTTAGGGATTCCTACTCCGATACTGATATTTCACAAAGTTACACATAACATCGTAAGAGCGCTGTACCGCTATTTGCGAGTTGAACCTACATCAGCTACTTTAAATTAAGCCGGTTTGGTTTGCTAGTACAGAGATTTCAGGAACAGCTTATAGACACTTAACGCAGTTTCTACAAAAAGACATGATCACCTGCATTTCCCCCTTAAGTGTTTTTCTTATTTAAATGAGCGGTTTGTTACGACGTCAAAGTGGGGAAAATATTGAAATTGAGCCGCGCTCCCCACGTGATGTGCATCTTCAGGAATAAAACCTTCGGGGTTTGTATATATTAATATTGTCGCTGATCCCTGTAGTAAAATCGTTTTTTAAGTGCTTACAGCTGAGTCAGTAACAAGCGTCGCTATTTTATTTATTTATCCGCATAAACAGTAACCACTCTAGTAATTAAACATAGGCCTATTTCATTTACCATGAAAACACATTAACTGGTAACTTACCACGAAAAGAATTTTCCCTAGTATTAACTAGTAGGCTATAAATACACAACCTAATGAAGATTTGGGTTTTTAGGGTTTACTAGGTTTGTCTAGTAAGAATGTCGGCTGTGGTATTAACAGGTGCATTTATTTAAATTAACATACTTTGAATAGCAAATCGGTTTTGGGACATTAAACTATGTAGTTAAGTGTGTTTCTACCTGTGTACTCACATACTGTAATGTGTCAACATGGATTTGTTTTAGTCCAATTTTTAAATACAAACCTTTGATAACTTTTTTTCTGATATAGGTCTAATTCTGATGTCATGGACTGGTGTCATGGATGGTGTTTGGAATTATTTTCCATTATGTAACGCAACCACTTTTCAAATGTATTTCAATTACAGAAAAGGTGCTTAAATGTCAGGTAGGTGTCAGAGCTCCCACTTGCGTTTCCATCACGTACTTGGAGGATGGGACAACCTCAAAAATTACAATTCAGCTTTTAACAGTGTTTTGATACCTTGGGCATTTGACTGCAGGCACTGTCCGGATCAGTAAATGTTTCCTGTTGATGTGGGGGGTACATGTATGAAGAGGGATTGTGAGACGGTGTTTTACTCATGCAAGTTCACATAAGTCTTGATGTTTAGATCAGATAAAACATTGAACAGATATATACAGTAGATGTGAGGACTAGAGAAATGCTGTTATGCCAACAAAAAGGTGAGGTTCTGGAGCGTGTACCCGGGAATGGGAAATGCGATATCTCAGCTGGAAACCCAGAACCTGTGATACCGGACACCAGCCGAAGGAGTCTGTGGGGTCCGGCAAAGTCACTGTGCTCATAGGCCACTAAAAGTGTTCAGCTACAGCACAAGTTCCTGTTGACTCCATCACTAGGAGGCTGAACTGGTGACTGTGTGAAACATCAAGGATTCTTCTTTCTTTCTCAGTTCCTGTATATCATCATATAACCAGGCTGGTAGGTGGTACATGCTTTACAGTCTTGGGAGAGAGAATTAATTCTGAGAACCTGAATTAATTACGTTTTTCTTAGTATGTTAACAGTTATAAGTCATAAGGACACTTGTGTGGGTTTGCCAAAGTATTTAATAATTTTTGCTGACATTTCTCTGTTTCTAAGTCTGGCTCTTGAGGCCTCTTAAATCTATACATTGAAAACTATGTTAATAGTCCTTACAGGATCCGCGTGAGATTCTGATGAAATTCTGTTATCTCAGTTTGGTTTGATGCCTTTCTGTGCGTCGTACAGCTTCATGCAGATTTGGCTTTATTGTGCACCATGTTTTGGCCAGCGTTCAATATGCTGAGCACAGATGCTTTATTCATAATGAAAAGGCATGTATTGTGCAGACAATTCTGAGTCTGGTTTCAGTTCTGGCCTCGGTGGTTGATCCTTTCAGTTAAATAAGGAGGGCAGCGAAGTGGCTAAGTGGCCTGAGCCTGTGTGCCTGTAATCACAAGGTTGCTGGTTCAAACCCAGCCTCAGCACATCTGCGGGTCCTTGAGCAAGGTCCTTAACCCCCAGCTCCTTGGGTGCTGCTATGGGTGGCTGCCCTTCACGGACAACTTAAAAACAACTTGACACAAAGAGCAAGTTGAGGGAGGCGTAAAGACAACTTCCCCATTGGGATTAATAAAGTATTGATTATTATTATTAAATGACTGTACCAAATAGGTATGTGTGTACGTATATAGTTAAGACAATTCATCTCAAACACTTTTTACAAATCCTCACTGAATAAATTGCTTGGCAGATGTGTGGTCTTTATGGCACTTGGGTGGCGCATAAGCTGGAAGAGTCTGGAGCACAGTGCAATTGTACGGAGGTGAGCCCTTTAACAGGCACAGATGAAGTTGGAGAAGTACCTGCTGATCCAGGTGCGAGGGATGGGAGGATAAAATAGAGGGTGCCGTAAATGAGGTGGAAATCCTGAATGATTCAGGGGACTTACTGTAGATGAGGACAGGGGCCATGGAATTTGCCAGCAGTTTCGGGATGGGTACCCAGGGTGAGGGTTTGTCAGGCGGGTCGGGATTTCAAGCCGTGCCCCTGAAAATACATCTGCTCTTAGGTCAATGAAAGGTTTCGTAAATGAACTGTCAGGCCTCCACGGATGACCTGCCCAAATTAGAGATCACTCACATTAACAAATCAGTGGCCATGCTGGTGCCTTATTCACCCAATATATTATTGTTATTGTTGATATTTTACTTACTGAGGAAGAGTTAGGTGGGGCAGGGTATAGAAGATGAGGTGGTGGTGGTGGAAATGACTGGTCTTTAATGTGTGTGAAATGCTTTTATAATTTTTTAAGGCGGTGGGGTATGCTTGTCAGTTTAGTGATGTGTCACTGTGTTCGAGGCTGCAGGGGTTTGTTTCTGTATTTAAATACCTATTTGTTTCTGTGTTTACATATACACTTGTTTCTGTATTTACATACACATTTGTTTCTATACTTACATATTTATGTATTTACATATATATATGACACTGTTTTGCCGTGGCGTTACATGGCCTTAGCCTGTGTGTTACATTGACACTGTGTTGCCATGGTGTTACATGGCCTTAGCCTGTGTGTTACATTGACACTGTGTTGCCATGGTGTTACATGGCCTTAGCCTGTGTGTTACATTGACACTGTGTTGCCATGGTGTTACATGGCCTTAGCCTGTGTGTTACAATTTCCTTACTGCCATGTAATGTTGCTAGAAATAAGAGGTGCACTGATCCGATATTCAGATGGGTATCGACACCGATCCAGACAAATCTGGTATTGGCTATATGTGACCTATCCACGTCCAATTGTTTAGTTTTCCGTAGTCTGTAAAAAGAAAGCTCCTATTTCTTTTAAAATTAATTTCTATAATCAATAGCAGGACAGCTCGTTCCCATTTCAGATGTGTTTTTTTGCGGCATTCAAGCTGAACGCTAACACTGCCATTCAGTTTTTTTTGCTACTGTGCAGTGATGTCACGTATATTTTTAGTATGAGGAGCATAAGAACGTCAGATAAGAGGGTGATGATCTGGAAGTACTGTGTATTACACCTTTAACAACAATTAGTAGTACAGCAATTTGGAATCTTTGTAAAAAATAGTTTTGAGAGGTGGAAGCAGCGTTTAGCAGAAAATCCTACTAAACACCATGCAAGTGCGGTACAATATGAAAAAAGCAATGGATGATTTGGGAATCGCTAGCTTGGGCTGTGTTGCACGCTCACTACAGCTTGTGATACATGAGCGGCTGCTATTGCAATGAAGTGTAAATGACGCTGTTGCCAGTGGGAGAAAAATTGTGGGGCACTTTAAGCATTTGCCACTTGCGTATCCTCACTTGGACGATATTCAAATTGAACTGCAAATGCCGCAAAAATGCTTAAAACGAGATGTACAAACAAGGTAGAACAGTATGTCATGTATGTTTCCAGTAGCCTAATTAACGTTTTTTTGGCATACAGTTTTTCCATTTGTATTCACTAGTTTTAAAACATATTAAGAATATACAAAGTATACATATTTATATATGATATACATTTTTATACTAAAATATTAAAATAAAAAGAGCTCTTGTATCAGAATCTTTTTCGGTACTGGCAGTTGTGTATTGGAGTCGTATAGGAATTGAAAAAATGTTGACCAGCCCATTCCTACTATAAATTGTAATGCAGCATCCTTCCAGAAGGACACTGCAGTCTGGTATTCATGCGTCTGAGAAGTTGAATGTTGTGTTGGTAAACGTGTCTCTTATTAAACCATTTTATACTGAAGCCACCAGCAACTGTTGTTTTTCTAATTAGAAGATGCACCAAAAGAAGATGCCATTCAATCACATGAATAATAATATTACATCATGACCTTTGAGTTTTAAAGTAGCATTGTGACAATGGATTTGTTAGTTCATGTTATCTGGCTACACACTCACCTTGGGACTGAAATGAAGCTTTAATGTGAAATGTTGGTTATTAATATTGTGATGCTGGGGTTGGTCAGCAGGACCAATTATGCACTTTAGTGGTATGTCTTGTATCGCACTGCAGGTATTTAGCAAGGACTATGTGAATTCATGTATTTTTGTTGTAAATGTTGAATGTTGTATCTGTGTCATGTTTGCCATGTAGCGTGTGTGTTTTGTTAGCTTGCAACCATGAACGTGACTGTGGCGTTAATTGTTGGCTTTCGCGTCTCTCGTGCTACTAGTCTGATTAGTGCTGGTGATCAGTAAAGAGAACACCTTTCACTTTTAAAAGAGCTGTCATCTCATTACAATGCAGTTGATAGAATGGTGTCAAAAGTGGGAAGAAATTGACGACCTGATCTGAAAATATTGGCAGCTTAAAACTTCGATGAGGTGCAGAGAGGCAACAGCAGCAAACCAGTGGGGGGATCCCGGGAACCAGGCATTGCGCTAGCGTGTTGCATTTCCGCTGCCAGAAGAAGGACTTGATGATGCACTGGATGACATTGAGAGACGTGGTTCAGCTCCTTAGACCTTCAAAGCGATTATTGGTGGGTAAAATTGGCCCGTGATGTCCAAACCAAGACCGCATTCACCATTAGCTGGGGTCTTTGGCATGGGTCATTTTTTTCACCTTGAAGAAGTTGATGGAATGAGTGCTAGCCCCTTTCATTTTACAATTAAAACTTCAGACAGCTAGTGGCCCTTTTTTGTAAAAGATGTCTGAATAAATGAGGTTTATGCTGCAGACTACCTGCTGTTTCCTGACCCTCTTGGAGTAAGTGTGTTAGTCTGGGCCTTGATGAGTGATACACTGCTGCAGGAAATATATATTACCCCACATCATGACATGCTGAGGCATTGAGTAGAATTGTGAGCAGTGTCTCATTACTGAATCATTCCTAGGGGTTATTTAATATATGGGGTAGGTCCGGGATTATTCTGCTCCCCTATAATCCTGTCAGATTAGCAGCTACAAAGTAAAGATAATGCTTCATTCACTCTTAGTACTGATAAATAAATTAGATGTGTTTATTTTATATATATTTTTAAATGAGGGACATACATTTAAAAGTAACGATCAATGGTCTCTTAGCATTGTTAATACCACAGTCATTAGTCTGCACCCTTTGTGTGTGTGTGTGTGTGTGTGTGTGTGTGTGTCTGTGTGAAAGAGAAAGAAACTCCATCCAACTAATGTAATTTGTCCACGTTTGAGGTAATCCATTCATTTCTTGCTGGACTAGGCTGCTGAGTCACACAAAGGTGATATTATCTGATATTTTTTGTCACTGCATGGCTGTAATTTATTAAACATACAGGGCAAATTCAATCACTGTAACTTGATATTCCTATGATATGCCTGGCTTGGATTTCACAGTGTGGTGTTTATTTGGGGGAATGTTCCTGGACTGCTGTTCATGTGTGAGTGAATGTACCGTGCGATGGGTTGCCTCCTCCTGAGTTATTCCCTGTCTTGTGCCTGTAGCTTCCGGGATAGGCTCCAGACCCCTTCGACCCTGAATAGGACAAGCGGACACAGAAAATGGATGGATGGATTTTAATAATAATAATAAATTATTGATCCCTCGTGGGGAAATTCTCATCTCACCTACCCCATCTTGCTCTCCATGACACATATATAGGTCAGAGCAAGCTTGGTAGCAAAGGGCAGCCACCTGCAGCGGCGCCCATGGAGCTGGGGGTTACGGGCCTTGCTCAGGGGAACACAGATGTGACTATTCTACTGAGGCCTGGAACAAACCGGTGACTTTGTGATTACTGGCACAGAGGCTTTGCCTGCTGAGCCACACGCTGCTCCCAGGGGAGTCCAGCCAGGTTGTTGCACTTGCAGATGGCTGTTCTGGGGCCTGTATCATGAGCCAGGATTTTTTGCTTAATTGAATAACATCAGATTTAATGTAATCTGGGCTAAATGTTAGTGAACAAAGAGAAACTCCATTTAAACTGCTGTTAAATCTGACAAGTTATGGCACTAAGCA